TGTGACATGAGTATTTCGAGGTGTTACAAAAGGAATGACAAAGTTAATATACCTTCCATAGTATGGCGGAGGGTTTAAAAAACGTTTAGAGTCGCTACCATTTTCAGGTCATCTTGAGGCCGGAGGTCTTTTACAGACGAAGGACCTGTTTACAATATCCCATAGACCACAACCTTTCAAATTCTTTTATAGGAAAACAACCTTTTATGGACAGAAGACTTGTGTTAGGTCTTCTATATGCAGAAGACCACTTCATGGACTTCTATGGACAGAATATCTTCCTAGTCGAAAAATCATTGACGGAATGCCTTCTAAACATCTCCCATAAACCGAAGACAGCGAAAAAGAAAAACATTTATTAATTGCAGACCTTTTTAATACCTTCTATGAATCCTACGAATAAGAGCATTCGGTAGATCAAATTCCGCCAAATAAACAGAAAAAAAATCTATAAAAAAATCTATTGGTGTTAAGAATTTTTTATTGTCATCCGTTTTTTTTTTCTAGGAAATTTCTGAATTTAAAATAGTCTCTTTATGTTACTCTTAGTATGCTCATGCAAATAATTTTAATACGCACCGGCATTTATTCCGCAACTGAGCGTATGAACAATATTTAGCGTATTTCTTATACCACCCATCGCTTCATGACATTTTTAAACTCGTCTCCATATATTGCAAAATTTCTTTTTGTTTATTTGTAAACATTGTCGTCCTGCTAACATTTGTATCTCTCAGTACTTACAGTGTGAGCAGCACAATAAAAATATTGTTTATCCCTTTTCTCTTGCGTGGCTTGTCTCTTAAATAGTTTTCTCTTGATTCTCTTAAGTGTGTGTTTCTTGTTTCATTCATAAAAAGGTGTTTAAAAGTTTCAACGAATGGAAATCACTACGTTTAGGTGTCTGATTTGAGTGAGGGATATAAATTAAATTGTATGTTTCTTGGTGGTGAAAAAAAAAAATATTTTAAAGTTCTAAATTATTATTATTACTATTATTATTATCATATAATCGAATTAAAAATCTGGTTGGTTAAAATTGTCATTAACTTTCCAGTTTTTAAATTGCAACTCCAACAAAAGACTTGATCAAAGATATTTTCTAGACGTCTACTTTTCTATACACGCCTAAAAGTATGCTTGGTTTTTAGCCGTTTACCACTGCGTATAAAATAAGTAAGTCATCTAAATAAATTTGTCTTTTACTTAAAGTACACATTAAAAATGAAAGTCGAAAGTTGTGTTTTCCTAGATTACACTGTGCAACACAAACATTTATTCCAGGAGAAATTTTATGGCAGATTTCCTGAAATCCATTGATTTTAGGAATACAATGTCTTCGGCAATATTGCAGATAAAATTACGCGGAATAATTTGGTCTAGAATTTTAACCTTCGAACGAGTCAACAAAGGGGACTTTTTGGTCCTTTTTGAAAAAAAAAAATTTTGACTAAAAACTCCCGTTAACGACTAAAAGCTCCCGTAGCAAGTCAAAATATTCTATAAAATTAATTGTCATAAAATTCTACAATGGGTCCTAGGAGACTTTAAGGTTCTAAGTGTTACCTAAACGAAAGAAAATTGTCTATATTAAAACAAATTTTAGGGTTAAAGTCGTACTTCATGTGAGTTTATGCAAAAATCTCCTAAAAAACATCATTTTGAAAAGATGGGCTATATCGGTCGACGATATCGTATAGCCCCCATATAACTGTACCCCCGATATTCGGTATTTTGATAATTATTGCCACATTCTGCAACGGAATTGTCTGAAAATCCATACAAGGAGATCCTTGTGGGTACTTTATCCTTTGGAAGATAATTATCTATATAGGTCCACGATATCGTATAGCCCCCATATAACGGTGGCCCCGCGATATTCGGTATTTTGATGATCTTAGCCACATTTTTCAACGGAATTGTCTGAAATTCTACATAAGGAGTTCTTTGTGAGTACTTTACCCCCTGAAAGAGAATTGTCTACATATCGTATATCCCCCACAAACGGTACCCCCCGATATTCGGTATTTTGATAATTTTAGCCACATTTTTCAACAGAATTGTCTGAAAATTCAAACAAGGAGTTCTTTGTGAGTACTTTATCCCTTGAAAGATAATTATTTATATAGGTCCACGATATCGTATAGCTCCCATATAACGGTACCACCCGATATTCGGTATTTTGATAATTTCGCCACATTTTCCAATGGAATGATCTGAAAATCCACACAAGGAGTTCCCTCTGAGTACTTTATCCCTTGGGAGGGAATTATCTATATAGGTTCACAATATCGTATAGCCCCCATGTTACCGCCATATTCGGTATTTTAAAGATTTTAACATAATTTTGTAATGGATTTTACTTTTTTTTACATGTCCTAATTCGTTCCAAATGGTGGAGGGTATTCAAAGTTTGGCCCGGTTTTCTTTAATTTTACTTTGCCTTTTTTCGAAAGTAACATAAAATTTGGTTGTAGGAATAAGATATCAAAGGAAGAAATGTTCTAAACAAAATTTCACAATAAATCTCAGAATAAAATATATATGTAGATAGTTTTAGAGAAAATTACATTCGAAATTTGTGTCGTAAAAGTGACGTTTTTGATTCCTAATTTTACAAGTTTCTAATTTGAGTCCAAATCTCCATGAAAAAATTAGTTCTTTAAGGAAAGTGTTATAGGAAGTAATATTCTAGATCAAATTTCATTATGAGTCTTGAAGCTACTTGAATCAACATTCCCAACAAAAAAAAAAAAAAAAAAAAAAAAAAAAAAACGAAATTATTTCCAATTTTTTTGATCAATTATCATCGAGTTTTTGATCAATTTTTTCGAGTTGAAAGTAACATAAACTTTAGTTTTAGGGGAAAGGCGTCAAAATAAGAAATATTCTACACAACATTTCACTATAAATCTCAGAATAAAATATAAACCTAGGGGCAATAGTTTTACAGAAAATTAATTAAATAAGAAATATATATATATATATTTCACGTAAAAAATATTTGTTTACGTTTTGGTGTGTTAATTTGGCACTTTTGCAATCCAAGTCAAAATCTCCCATAATATTTTAGTTATTGGGGAAAGTGTTAAAGGATGAATTATTCTAAATCAAATTTCATTATGAGTTTCAGAACAAAATAAATCTATATTTTCATTATATATCAAAAAAAAAAAAAATACTTATTTAGATTTTGCAAAAAAAAAAAAAAATATTTCTCATGTTTTATATGAATATTTCTTCGGTGTTGCTTCGAATTGTTGTATGAAAGTAACATAAAACTTCATTTAAGACAAAAACTTTGAAAGGAGAAAATATTCTACATCGAATTCCACTATAAGTCTCAGAATAAACTATACATCTAGATACAATAGTTTTGAAGAAAATTACATTCGAAATTTGAGTAGTAATACTAATTTCATATGTTTCCCATTATTCTTAATTTTTTGGGAAAGTGTCAGAGAACGAATTATTTTATATCGAATATCATTATGTGTGTCTGAACAAAAGAAATCTGTATTTCCATTGTTTATCTCGAAAATACTTGAGCCAACATTCCCAAAAAAAAAAAAAACTTATACCATTGCCGGCGAAGCGCTTGCTTTGGATGATCGACACTTTGAGTGCCAACCTTGCAATCCAAAATACTTCAGACACAATAGTCCAACAGATTGGAATTCGGAGATTTTTGTGGCCATTGTGCGCTGGAAATGAAGCGAGGAACCTCATTTTGTAACCATTTGTGGGTGGCGCGTGCTGAGTGCGATGGTGCTGAGCCCTGTTGGAATGTCCAAGATCTGCGGCCAAAATGTTTGCGTGTCCAAAGCTTTAATACACCCCCTAGAATCATTTCGCGATAATATTCGGCATTTATACTGATGTCACGGTCGATTAATACGAGCGGAGAACGACCATCGGCTGTTATGGCGGCACTCACCATCACCATGGCCGGCACTTGAGTTCTGGTGGTCAACCGAAGGTGCGCATTTTCAGCTGATCTCTTTGGCAAGTAAACACGATCATTTTATTTGTTTACTAACTGCTGGACAACGAATGTTTTTTTCAACGGAGACGGAGAAAAACTAATTCGGTAGTTCACCACTTTCGGTCAAGCGAAGCTACTCTTTACCTCTTTAGAAAATAGACTCAATATTTTCTTTCTGTTGCGGTGCAAGTTCTTGCTCTTTTTGGAATTTCAATGGTTTTACCCCGTGCTCATTTTTCAGTATTTGCCAAATGGAATATTGCGATATGTTCAGCTCACGAGCCATTTTTCGGCCACTGCAACGCGGGTTTCGATCAAATCGCTTCTTTTCTTTTCAAACCATTTCTGCTGATGTTGCTGGTTTCTTCCAGCCACTTCCTTGACGTCGGGATACGCTACCAGTATCACGGTACGAGACCCTAAAGATTTATTCACATTTAATTGTTGGAGTGCTCTAACGAGAGCCACTTGTGGTTTTCCAGCCAAATACAAAGAAATAACACTATCACGCTTGAATTCCGCCACGAATAACTTTTTTTCTGGAAAATTCTCACCAAAATGCTTTTGTACGCTTGTAAACAATATAAAGAGCTGTCACTGGAATAATTTTAGCAGCTGTAGGACGAGTGGCTTAGAAATGACAGCAGTCTGTAGTTGGTTGCAGTTTTTTCATCTCACCCATATTCTTTACCCATCTCCCCATAAGAAAGTGCTTTTATTTTTTTAAATTATTTATTTAATAAAATTTACTTTATTAAGTTTAATTACTTTCTTTTATAGAAGTTCATAATTAATTTTTATTTATTTTTTGTGATAATAAAAATTCGTTGTTGTTGTTGTTGATGTTCTTGGCAAAAACAAATATGTTTCAAATACATACAATAGTTAATTTTAATATTTATTCTTGTTTTTATTTGTTAAATTTATAATATTTAATTAAGCTTAAATATTCAAATAACATAAAAAAATTCAAATATAAATCTAACAAATTGATGCAATTATTTATATTTTGATTTCAATAGTTTTTTTTTTTTATGGAAATTTGATAAATGATTTTCGTGTTACACAATTTTTTTTATAATTTTTAAATTTTAATTTTTAAATTTTTGAATCTATTTACATGTTAATATTAGAAATATAGAAGATTTCTTAACTTTTATAAAAAATAAAAAAATAATAAAAAAAAAATAATAAAATAGATTTAGGGAAAGGGAGATTTAGGAGAGATTTCTAAAAATTAATTTTAAATAATAAAATTAAAAATAAAAAAATAAATAATGATTTAGAAAGAGGAAGTCATGATTGTTGTTTTTTTTTTCATTTTAAAACACTAACACATTTTTAGAAATTCCTTTTTTGTTTTTAATTTTTCGTTGCAATCAATTGTCAAACATCACTAGTCCAAAGGTCTAGGGGCTCGCCTTCTACTCGGGCTGGCACTGGACAAGCAAATTCCTTTCCAATTTCTCATCCCAATATTCCATTCGAAATCTAACCTTTGCTAGCAAGGTAACAATTGTTTTTTTAATTTTTTGTGAATAATTTTCGTTTTTTTTTTTGGCAAATCAATTTCAAAAAATTCTCTCTGTGCAGTGTTTTGAGTGTATGTGTAGTTTTTAGAAAATTAAAAAATAGAATTATGTTTTTTTAAAAAAATAAAATAAATAAAACTTAGGCTAATATGTTGTTGGGTTTCTTATAAATGCAGACCGGAATCGAAATCAAACCCAAAAATGGGTTTCCGCGCAATGCAGAGACCCCTACAGCATTTCCTGGGATTACCACAAATTCAGGGGGCGATGGCGGGCCAAGAAATCGGAAACATGCAAGGCGGGTTTATCAACGGCAGGACATCCTAAAAACACATAAAAAATAAACATTATTTTCCCTTTACCTTTCAAAATTCTCCCACCCCTCCCCTCTCAATACTCACTGCACACGGAACAGGTCTGCTCATCGGTGCCATCACCACAACCATCACGACCGGAGCAAACAATCGCCGTCGACCTACAACGACCATTGCTACACCTGTGTGGACAATAGGCCGTGGCATCACTGTTCTTGTTCATCAAACCACCGGCTGTCAATAGCTGCAGGAAGAAATTAGGCATGGACCGGGAACCGCACAGATGTGGTGGTTCATCACTGCCATCGCGACACGAAATAATGGCATTACAATACTCATACTCTGGCAAACATTCACCGCTCTTGCAACGGAAGGTATTTGGGGGACAAGCCTCATTTGCCTTCAGGCCAACACAGCCCATTTCATCCTCTCCATGTGGACACTGCTTGCGGCCATCACAGAGGGCAGCACGCGAGATGCAACGTCCACTGTTGCCACAACGGAATGCCTGTTCGGGACAGGTTTGATTGAGGCGTGGATTAAAGCTACACTCCTCATCGGAGGCATCGTTACAATCTGAACGGCCATCGCAGACAAAGAACCATGAAATGCAAACACCACTGGAACGGCACTGAAACGGGAGAGAGTGAAACATTTGTTAAAATTTTAAGTGTTAAAATTCAGATTCAGAATATGCAGAATTCAATACTTAAAGATTAACTAGTCCCCTGTTAAGCTCTAAGTATTAGATACTTCCTAAGTATATTGCTTCCTTTAAGTGTTGGAACCTTGAAAAAGACAACTTTGGTAAGTGGCGCCCAACAAGAGAGCTACTGATTTCCCTTTAGAATGAGTTTTCCATAAAATGTTAAAAATGTTAACTATAAAAAACCCCATTTGTAATAGGCGCCCAACATGGGACTAACCTATTTTAACTATAATTTTTTTTTCAAGAGAGCAACTGGTTTCCATGGTTGGTTTTTTCTTTATAGATTAAAGGAAACCCTCCTTATAAATGGCGCCCAACGTGAGAGCACTGATTTCCCGTTTGGATTTTTTCCCTCGACCTACATTGGACCAACCTATTTTAACTATATTTTTTCAAGATAGCAATTGGTTTCCATGGATGGTATTTTTTTATAGATTAACAGGAAACTAAGTAAATTCTCCCTTTATAAATGGCGCCCAACGTGACAGCACTGATTTCCCGTTTGGAATTATTTTTCCTCGACCTTTTAACCATTACAGTACTTTTTAAAGAGATCGAAAACGAATCTTACCATGAATGGATCGAACTGATGGACCAGGGGAAAAGTCTCATTTTCGGAGAAGGATTTTTAGATTATAGCCAAGGAAGCTTTCATCATAAAGTTTGTAAAAGAACTCAAATTTTTAAAAAACTATATTCAGAATTTGATATTGAAAGATTAACCTTGGACTACAAAAAAGCCATTTGTAAAAGGCATTCAATAGGACGATATTCATTTGAAATGGCTTCTTTAAAGACCAACAGGGGACTTCGAAACCCCTCTTTCTTAGTGGCGCCCAAAAAGGAGAGCAACTGCTTCCTTTAAAGATATCTCCTTGAAAGATTAACAGGGGATTACAAATCACTGTGTACATGGCGTCTAACTTTGGAAAATTTCCTCGACCTAACTCCTCAAGAAATCGGAAACATATCTAATTATTAATACATCATTAATTTTCGGCTTCCAAGATTTTTCATCCTATTCAAAGGATAATGTTTTTATCTTATGTTGGTACCCGACGAGAGAACAACTGAAACCAAGAACAACGAGAGAACAACTGAAACCTACACCACAAGATGGTCAGGGTATTATGTCGTTGTGCATTTGTTTGTAACAGGGAAAAGAAAACGAGATAGACCCATAGTTCCTTTTGATGATCTGCATAGAATCACATTCTGAGTCGATTTATGCATGTCCATCCGTCTGTCTGTCTGTCCATGTATTTTTGTAAACAAAGTATAGGTCGCATTTATTGTACGATCCAGATGAAATTTTGCCGAAACCATTTGTTTGACACAAGGTCGAATCCCATTGAAATTGGAGATAATCACTCAAATTTTAGATATAGCTCCCATATATATCTTCGTCCGATTTGCCTTTTATTGTGCACCAAACCTGTAATATCAGCCCGAATAGTATGGAACTTTGCACATACAACCAAATTAGGCCTGAAAATAAGTTTGTCAAATTTGATCGAAATCGGTTCAGATATAGCTATAGCTCCCATATACATTGTTCATCCGATTTGTTATTTTTGTCCTCCGCAGCCGTAATATGCACTCTGTAACAACGATATTTGGGGAAATATATTAAATACAGCTCGATCCAGATTTGGTTATAGCTCCCATATAAAACTTGGCCCGATTTACCTTTTATTGTGCACCAAACGTCTATTTGTTGCCCAAATGGCATGGAATTTGGCACTTACGATCGAATTGAGTCTAGAAGCCAAAAAGTATGCCAAATTTGGTGAAAATTGGTTCAGATATAGCTTATATATTCTTCATCCGATTTGTTATTTTTGCCTTCCACAGTCCTAATATGCAATCTGTAACAACGAGATTCGGGAAAGATATCATATACAGCTCAGAAATACCTCTGCCAAATTTTATGGAGATCGGTTCAGATTTGGATATACCTCCCATATATATCTTTATCCGATTTGAAGTTAATTGTGCACCAAATGGTTAATACAAGCCCGTATTGAAAAGACACAAATGCCTCGGCATATTTAGTAGAAATCGATTCAGAGGAGGATATTCCTCTCAGTTCCTATGGACTTTAAATTAGAATTTTATGTGAAGCTCTACTAAATACGCAAAGTGGTGTAGGGTATCATAAAGTCGACCCCGCCCGACATTAAGACTTTCGGTACTGGTTTTAAATGATGACCAACAAGAGAGCATACTGTGTTCCTCAGCCTAGTTTTGTGTCCAAACGTATTGCGAATACAGGTCATTTTGAGTTCTGCAATCTGTCTACATACTTTTGCCATTTGTACCGAGAAATCGGAATCGTGTGACTATACATGTTTACAGGTTGTGAATTTTTTATTCGAAAGTGGCGCCCAACGCAAGAACAACCTTTGCACTTGCAACTCTTGCTTGATCGTATTTACTTTAAAGTGGCGCCCAATCAGAAAATTTTTGTTTCCGCAAAAATTATCATTTTAACGTTGGCGCCCAAACCTGTCTGGCAACTATTTTTCGATTCATCGGAGTTTTCAATTACGTAAACATGTGCCTTTTGTAGTTGGTGCCCAAGTTGACGACTAACAAACAAAGTTGTTTAGAGAATACATAATTGTACTAATCGTTGGCCTCGTTATAAACTTCCTAACATTCTTCCTAATCAATTCCTGGTTCAAATTCAAATGGAGATTCTTATCCTTATATATTTGGTTAGTAGTGAATTTTTTTACAAGATAAAAAATGGCGCCCAATTAGATCACCTCTGGACCCCAAAAAGTAATATATGTAACGATGCAAGACTGGCGACCGAGCAATGAATCTCAAATGTTATTGTACATCAGAGCAAATATTAAATTAACCAATGGGAAACTGTATCCCCATTGTCGTCCTAAAAGAGAAACGTCTAAGGATTATTTTTATCAAATTAGGGAAATATTAGAAGGAAAACATTTATTAAATGATGCTCATATATGGCGCCCAAGTAGAGGATCACTGAACACAAACTTCCGGTGTACTTTGAAATTTGCTTCCCAAATGAGGGATAGTTAAAATTGCTTTCAATAGACAAATTTCCCCCACAAAATGTCTAATAAGAGAGGAAGATTTAAATGAAATAAGACCTTCTTCATTTGGCGCCCAAACAGAGAACAAAAAATTAGGATTTATTGAAAGATGCTTCCTAGAAAAGAGGTAGTTAAAAATGTTTGGGGAAATGTCTAAACAGAGAGGGTTTTCTCAAAATCGCCCATGCCAAAGAGAGAACCATGAGGTTCGGCAAAGTCTTTAACGGCTGAACTTAGTTCAAAGATACCGAAAAATGGCGCCTAATTAGAACAAGTCTGAATTCCAAAAATTCATCTATGCTATGATATTTAAATCATAGTTAGGCTGGCGCCCAAGCAATTCATCCAAGGCCTTAAGTTATACCATTGTTCCTCAATTCAAATATTAGATTAGCAAGTGGGAATCCGAACCCAAAATCCTCAAAAAGGAAATCAAATGGGGTATATTATTAAATGATGATCATAAATGGCGCCCAAGTGGGGGGTCACTGAACAAAAACTTTCTTTGGACTTCAATATTTGCTTCCCAAATAAGAGATAGCTGAGATTCAACGGACAATTTTCTCCCAAACACTTGTCTAGAATAAAATAAAGCCTCCTTGATTTGGAGCCCATACAGACACCAACAAATGGGGATTTATTAGAAGATGTCTGCAGATGGCGCCCAAGTGAAGGATCACTGAACATAGCCTTCTCTTGGACTTTCAAAGTGTCTGGAACTAACTAGCTTCCTAGACGAGATATAGTTTAAAATGCTTTCAACAAACAAATTTCCCTAAAAATTCCTGTCAAGGAGATGTTCTCCAAATCATTTTCCCCATACTCACCTGGAATGTTCCGGGACTGCAACCGGTTTTTTGGGCACCGCATTGTTCGGCCATATTGGAGTGGGAATAGATATTGGCAGCACAGTCACAGACACCATTGGCATTGCAGACGGTATTGGGATCGGCCAGTTGGCATTGTTTGTCGTTGGAGCAGCCCAGGCCCAAGGAGACAGCCTCCAAACTCAATTCAACACGTTTGCGGATTTCTGAGGGGAAACATTTGATTAAAGAGAAAAATCTGATTTGGAATGTATGTGGAACTTACCTGTTGTACTGGGTTTCCTGTTGAATGCAGCCGCCTCCGACACGGTCACCTCAAGATGCTGGGGTTCAGGTGTTACTATCTCCTCACTTGCAGACATTAAAGGCTTTAGAGTGGTAGCCACGGGGGCAGCTGGTTCCATGAGCGTTACACGGCTGGCCAAATTCAACATGGTTTGAGTGGTCAGTTCAGCAATGCCCGCAGCAGTTGTGGCCTCAGCCTGTTCATGTTCCGATTCGGGACTGTAGAGGTCATTATTGCTTAGGGTTGTGGTCTCCACAACCAAATTATCAGCTTCCAATTCATGTTGGATAATCATATCATCACCGGACATATCAAATGGTATCTCATGCGGAGATAATGTATGGGCGGTTTCAGATTCAGTGTGCTGTGGTTGTTGGTGTGGTTTGTGTTCGAAAGTGGCGCCATCATCACCGGAAGACTCCTTGTCATCACCGGAAGCTTCCTGTTCATCGTGTTGGGCCGGAGGATGTGAGGGGAGTTCTTGCTTGTCTTGAGACTCTTGATGGGTGGTTTCTTGCTGTTGCAGTTCCTGCATATCGGGATAGAAAGTAATCAATTTATCCTGGGGATCAATCAAGGCCTCGGTGGCTTCTTGTGAGACGACCTTTTCTTCGGAAATATTTGAATCTTCGGCCACCAAATCGGGTACTTCTTCTTCGGCTTCTTGTTGTGGGGGAGCAGGATTGTGGCTCAATTCTTCTTGCGAATATTGGGGAGGCTGCACGGTGATTTCTTCCTTCATTAGCTCATTTAAAATATCCATAATTGAGGCATTCTGGGCCACATCCTCGTCTTCGGGTTCTTCCAACATTGTGGCTGAGATTTCTTGACTCTCAGATTGACTTGCCAGACCACCGGGAATTTCATAGGTACTTTCTTGGCTCTGTTGGGGTTCAACGGAAACAGGTTCTTGGATTTGATGATGGAAATCGTCCTCATTTTCTGCGAGCTCGTCGTATTGTGTCTGGGGTTTCAGCGACATTTGGAAGTAGTTCTGTTCCTGGGAGGCTGCTTCTTGGTGATTGATTTGATTTTCTTCAAGCTCGGATGAGTGTTGGTCATCTTCCGAGGGGCTGGTAGTCGGTTGAGATTCTTGTTGATCTTCGGAATCATCGGTTGGGTGTCCTGTGGTGTGGGCAAACGATTCTGATTCTTCGTCTTCTGGATTTTGGGAAATTTCATTGTTTTCAGGATTTTCCAGATCTTGCTCCTGTTGATCCTCAATGGCTTCCGTGATGGCCTCAAAATCTTCCAAAGGCAGCATAACATCTTGAGCATCAGGATGATGAATGGCCGTGGATTCAATGTGGGATTCGGCTTGATGTTGATCCTCAGCTTTGAGGGTTTCTTCCTGTTGCGTTTTGTCGGAGAGTTCGTTTTGGTGTTGAGCTTCCTCATTTGTTGCCAGATCCTTGATGTCTTCTTGATTGACATGGTTTGTCGAATCTTCGAGACCTTCAATGGTGACGTCAGAATCTTGATGTTCTTCGGCATTACTTGAGTGTCCTTCAGTCTGCTCAATTTCCGAATTCAATGGGCTGTGGGTATTGAATTCTTCCTCACCTCTTTGAATATCATTTTCATGAGTTTCGGAAGCGTCCTGCTTGTCCTCGGTTTCAATGGGTTGTTGTTCGGATTCATTTTGTTCTTCGGCTTCATCAAATTTAGTTTCTTGACTTCCAACTTCATTTTGGCTGTAGTTTTCTTCGGCCTTTTCTTCCGAGGCAAGGATTGGATCCTGGGCAATTTCCTTGGGATTCTCAACTTCATCGCTGGCAGTTTCGGAATGCTCATCTTCAGATGCTGGCAATTCATCGTGAGCGATCTGGGCTACCCCGGATTCAATGTGTGGGATTTCATGGTAACCAGGTTGAGTCAATTCTTCCAATTCTTGTACATGAGGTTCGGAATCATGTCCAGATTCAGGTCCCTCTTCAGCAATTGTGGGTTGCTGGGAATCAATTTGTTCAGATTCTGCATCAGTCTCGTGGTATTCTTCGTGATTTTCGGGGACTTGGGTTTCTTCGTGAATGACAACCGAATCTACAGGGGCAATATGTTCTTCCTGATATTCGGGAACCTGGACATCTTCTTGAATCACTGCCGAGTCGACAGCATTGATTTGTTCAGCTTGACTTTCTGGAACCTGAACTTCTTCATGAATAACTTCTGAGCCGACTTCTTCACCTTGATTTTCTGTCACCTGGATTTCATCGTTAGCCACTTGAGGGTCGAGGGATTCGATGTTATCTTCTTGATGTTCTGGGGCCTGTGATTCTTCTTGAACCGGTGCGGGGGATTCCATGTGTTCTGGATTTTCTGAAACATCATGTTCTTCCTGATTCATTGCCGAGTTTTGATCCTTAAATTGTTCACCCTGATTTTCAGCTACTGGGTTTTCTTCGTGCACCATTTCCGAGTCGACAGAAGCGATTTCTTCTCCTAGATTCTCGGGGACCTGGGTTTCTTCGTGAATCACTACCGAGTCCGCAGCGTGGATTTGTTCTTCCTGATTTTCGGGGACCTGGGTTTCTTCGTGAATCACTACCGAGTCAGCAGAGTCGTTGTGTTCTCCCTGATGTTCGGGAACCTGGGTTTCTTCATGAACGACCACAGAGTCAGAGGATTCGATATGTTCTCCTGCTTTTTCGGGAACTTGTGTTTCTTCCTGATTGGTCATGGAATCGACATGTTCTTCTTCAACATGTTCTTCTTGTTTTTCTGGGACCTCGGTTTCGTCCTGCATGACAACTGGGGAGTCAGGGGTTTCCATTTCGGCTTCATTTGTTTGCTGCGCAAATTCGTCGGCGTTAGTTTCATGGGTTTCTTCTTCTTCGTGGCTAAGGATGTGCTCTTCGTTATTGCTGGGGTGACCTTGAACCTCTCCGTCTTCTTCGTGATTCAAGGACTCTTCTTGATCATTAGTTTCATGGAGAACATGCTCTTCATTATTCAGCTGCTGGATTTCTGCTTCCTCATTGGCTTCTTCGTTCTTTTCCTCATGTGTGCTTTCAGATCCTTCCAGTGTCTGTTCCTCAGCGGCTGCTGGGAGAAGTTCTCCTTCATTTTCTGCCACGTTGGAAGATTGTTGAGCGGCTTCCTCATTTATGCCATGAGTTTGTTCTTCATGGTGGACCTGATCGAATTGAATACCCTGGGGTACATGTTCTTCCTCAACTTCATCAGCTAAGATAGGATGGGATTGGTCCTCCGGGGCTTGTTCTTCGTCCTTCAACGATTCCTCGGTTTCATATGCTTCTTCCTGGTGAGCGGAGGAGTGTTCTTCCTGTGCGGCTTCCTCTTCATGCTGCTGCACATCCAAGGTATCTTCTTGGTCCTCTTCAATTTCACTGGGGCTCAGGGTGGCAATGTCATTTTCGGTGGCAAATTGGATCATTTCGTCATGGTGGACTTGGGAGGTTTCCTGTCCAGCCATTGATTGTCCATCTTCGTTCTTCTGAGGCTCTTCTTGACTCTCCTGATTCTCTTGGACAGCATGTTGTTCTTCCACAGTTCCCATTGTTTCCTGATTAACTCCGTGATCAGAGGTTTCTTCATGCACCTCTTCCATGGCTTCCTCGTGAAGATTTTCATTGTCAATTGGCTCCACATGTTCTTTTTCTCCTTCTGTTTGCTCAGCTTCCAGCGCATTTTCATCCGATGCTTGACTTATAACATTTTCATTAATTTGCTCCATAACCTCGGGTTGAGATTCGGTCAAGATTGGAACATGATGAGCATCATCAACACTCTCGTCATTTTCTTGGGGCATTTCTACGGGGATCTCCTCAACAGCTTGATGTTCTGCCTCACCTTCTTCTTTTCCATCCTCTTCGACTTTGTCTTCGCTGTGTTCTTGTGGTTCGACGGCATTACTGTCCGCTATTTGGCCCGCAGTCTGGTGGTCTTCAGCAATTTCTTGGTTTTCTTTTTCCTTTTCATTTTCTTCTGCATTACCAGGCATTAGATGAGAGTTCTCTTCTTCCGCTGCCTCTACGCTATCTTGGTGGGGTTCTTCGCCAGCGACATCTGTGTGTGCCATAATAGCTTCATCAATTTCTTGCTCTGCTTGAGGCTGTTGTTGTTGTTGTTGCTGAGTGGTTGCCTCAATTTCATTGTTGGCACTTTCGTTTTCATTAGCCTCCGCATCATTGGCAGCGGGAACAAGTTCATCATGTTGTTGTTGCTCTTGTGGTTGTTGGTAGTTCACATAGTTGGTTTCTTCCCCTTCTCCTTCGTGTGGCTCATCCAAAGACACTTCAGTGGTGGGATGGATAAAAGATTCCTGATAATTGTCACCTGGCTGGGCTTCCTGCACAATGTGTTCTTCTTCAGCTGGTTGCTCCTCATCATGCAATATCTGGACCACATGTTGTTCCTGCTGTTGGTGGCCTTGTTCGGCTTCTGCCTTTTGTTGATCTTCCATTTCTTCCTGGGCTGCGGCTTCATAATCAAAGTTCATGGTGTTGTCCACCACATCGGAGTACTCCTCAGCATGATGTTCCTCTTCCTCTTGATGCACCAACGGCTTCGTTGATTCCTCCAAGGCTGCTTGTTCCAAAGGCTTTGATTCCTCAGCTTTATCTTCCTCTACCTTATGATCCACAACTTGTTCTTGATGTTCCTCAGCATACTCATAATCCGGTTTGTAGGGGTAATCATCTGTTACCAAGGGAGTATCTTGGGTAGCCTCTTCCTCCTCCACCACCTGATGATGTTCATCAATCATAGTATGTCCGGCATCGGCTGGTGTCAATGGACTCTGCTGAGTTGTGGGAATTTCAATGGTCTCGGTGGGCTTGAAGGCTTCCTTATCATCATCCAATTCCTGTTCCTCCACCGACACATTATTCTCTTCCTCATCTTCGGCGGCAGCAGGTTCAACAATCTGGGGATCAGCCAAAATTTGTGGTTGGACACTGGGAGCTTCCGTCTCAACTTTGGGTGCAGATGTAGAGGTACTTGTGGTGGTGGTGGTAGTTGTAGAGGTACTGGCTGGTGCTGCTGCTGCGGGAGCTTCTTCGGCTGCTGGTTCAACACAATTGCCGGCCTTCAGTTTAGCTGGAGCGGTACACTGACAACGTCCAAACAAATTCGGTATCAAAAAGTCGCAATGGGTTTTCGAACTGAACATCTGGCAGTGGGCGTGACTGTAACAAACGGAACCGGGTGGGGCAGCTGGAAGAGAGACAGAAAAGAAAATACAATTAAAACGTAAGACGTGATACGCTTTATAAGGTGTGATGCTAACTTAGATTTTGAAGGGCGAGAGAGAGAGGAAAGTTGAAAATAAGAGAGTAAAGAGAGAGAGAGAGAGGGAGAGAAGAAATTCTGACATTTTATGAGAAGACATTCAGCTCTTCTAGGGAGAAGATCTTCAGCTCTTCTAAGGAGAAGATCTTCAGCTCTTCTAAGGAGAAGATCTTCAGCTCTTCTAGGGGAAGATCTTCAGCTCCTCTAATGAGAAGATCTTCAGCTCTTCTAAGGAGAAGATCTTCAGCTCTTCTAAGGAGAAGATCTTCAGCTCTTCCAAGGAGAAGATCTTCAGTTCTTCCAAGGAGAAGATCTTCAGCTCTTCCAAAGAGAAGATCTTCAGCTCTTCCAAGGAGAAGATCTTCAGCTCTTCTAAGGAGAAGATCTTCAGCTCTTCTAAGGAGAAGATCTTAAGCTCTTCTAAGGAGAAGATCTTCAGCTCTTCTAAGGAGAAGATCTTCAGCTCTTCTAAGGAGAAGATCTTCAGCTCTTCTAAGGAGAAGACCTTCAGCTCTTCTAAGGAGAAGACCTTCAGCTCTTCTAAGGAGAAGATCTTCAGCTCTTCTAAGGAGAAGATCTTAAGCTCTTCTAAGGAGAAGATCTTCAGCTCTTCTAAGGAGAAGATCTTCAGCTCTTCTAAGGAGAAGATCTTCAGCTCTTCTAAGGAGAAGATCTTCAGCTCTTCCAAGGAGAAGATCTTCTCTAAGGAGAAGATATTCAGTTCTTCTAAGGAGAAAATCTTCAGCTCTTCTAAGGGGAAGATCTTCAGCTCCTCTAAGGAGAAGATCTTCATCTTTTCAAAGGAAAAAACCTTCAGCTCTTTAAAGGAGAAGACCTTCATCTTTTCAAAGGAGAAAACCCTCAGCTCTTCTATGGAGAAGACCTTCAGCTCTTCTAAGGAGAAGATGTCCAGCTCTTCTCAGGAGAAGATCTCCAGCTCTTCTCAGGAGAAGTTCTCCAGCTCTTCTCAGGAGAAGTTCTCCAGCTCTTCTCAGGAGAAGATCTCCAGCTCTTCTCAGGAGAAGATCTCCAGCTCTTCTCAGGAGAAGATCTCCAGCTCCTCTCAGGAGAAGATCTCAGGCTCTTCTCAGGAGAAGATTTCCAGCTCTTCTATGGAGAAGACCTTCAGATCTTTTAATGAGAACAGCCACTGTTAATGCATTAACAGCCTCTGTTAATATATTAACATCCTATGTCAATGCATTAGCAGCCTCTGTTAATGTAATAACTGCCACTGTTAATGTATGAAGAGCCTCTGTTAACACATTAACAACATCTGCTAATGTATTAACATTATATTTTAAGGTATTAACAGTCTCAATTATGTTAACATAATAACAGAGGCTGTTCAGCCACTGTTAATATATTTACATCCCCTGTTAACATATTTACAGCCATTGTTAACATCTCAACAGCCACTGTTAATATATTTACATCGCCTGTTAACATCCACTGTTAAAATTAACAGCCACTGTTAACATTGCCAGCCACTGTTAACATATCAACAGCCACTGTTAACATATTAACAGCCACTGTTAACATGTTAACAGCCACTGTTAAAATATTAACAACCACTGTTAACATATTAACAGCCACTGTTAACATATTAACAGACACTGTTAACATATTAACAACCACTGTTAGCATATTAACAGTCACTGTTAACATATTAATAGCCACTGTTAACATATTAACAGCCACTGTTAACATATAAACAGACATTGTTAACATATTAACAGACACTGTTAACATATTAACAGACACTGTTAACATATTAACAGCCACTGTTAACATATTAACAACCACTGTTAACATATTAACAGCCACTGTTAACATAATAACAGCCACTGTTAACATATTAACGGACACGGTTAACATAATAACAGACATTGTTAACATATTAACAGCCACTGTTAACATATTAACAGACACTGTTAACATATTAACAGCCACTGTTAACATATTAACAGACACTGTTAACATATTAACAGCCACTGTTAACATATTAACAGACACTGTTAACATATTAACAGCCACTGTTAACATATTAACAGACACTGTTAACATATTAACAGACACTGTTAACATATTAACAGCCACTGTTAACATATTAACAGACACTGTTAACATATTAACAGCCACTGTTAACATAGTAACAGCCACTGTTAACATATTAACAGCCGCTGTCAATATATTAGCAGCCATTGTTAATATATTAACAGCCACTGTTAACATATTAACAGCCACTGTTAATGTATTAACAGCCGCTGTAAATGTATTAACAGCCAATGTTAATATATTTACATTCACTGTTAACATATTTACAGCCACTGTTAATATTAACAACCACTTTTAACATATTAACATCCACTGTTAACATTACCAGCCACTGTTAACATATTAACAGCCACTGTTATCATATTAATAGCCACTGTTAACATATTACCGGACTCTGTTAACATATTAACAGTCTGGGTTCACATATTAACGGACTCTGTTAACATGTAACATCTACTCTTAACATATAAAAGCATCTTTTAATAATTTTACTGCCTCTGTTATTATATCACCCTATCTGGTCCATTTCCAGCCTTGAAATATTTCAATTAAATTTGTGAATTTTCAGCATTTCATAGCTTAAAGATGCTCAAAATATCTCTTTAGCATGTTGTAAATAATTTCCAATTTTTCCCATATCCACACCTGTTTTTTTATAGAAATACAAACACACACACACACTCGCACAAAAGAAAAGAAAAATGCAATACACAGCATTTTTTTTTCTTTTTGTGTTGCAACTATTGTTGTTGTTGTTGCTGCCGTTGTTGGGGGTTTTCGCCTTAACCAGCAAACCTGGGATGACACACTTTTTTGCGCTCAACACATGCATCTCAAAACTGCCAAGACAGCATAACAACAACATGGCAAGCTCCAGAAGAGAAAAGGGTGTTGCACATTCCATGGAAACCATAAGGCAGGTTTCTATATGTAGAGAGCCAGTCAGAGGCTGCTTCATCAATAACATGATCGGTCATGATACACTACTGCCTTACCAATACCACAAAGCAGCGAGCTGGTGTGGCAAGTTGCAACCATGCCACCATACACCACCACCAACAACTGCACCAAGCAGCATCTGGGAAGCCAGGCAGCCAGCCAGCTAGTAGCTACAGCACTGCCAACTTGCCACTCAACCTGTTTGCATTGGGGATTTTTCCAACACATTGTCAGTTTGCCTGGCCTGACATTAGGAAATTCTCCGACCGTTTGGCATGCCATGATGGCATTGTCGTGGCAGTTCTTCTTCTTCTTCTTCTTCATCGTCGTGGCCATAGTTCCCGTTGCATTTTCATGCATAGCTTTTCCCAACTTCTACAAATAGCATAGGAACCGACAGACATGCATGCGGACATGTCCCAAACCACCAGACGCCAATATCTACCGTTTTACAGACGTTTTAGCTGATGCGAAGCTGCAGCCTCATCGTGGCCACAGCATCCAATGCATTCATTGTCTGTCTAATCACGTTGATGAGATGAGAGTTGTGGTGGTGCTGCTGCTGCTGCATCGTCATCATAGCCAACCATGCTCACATGCCATGGCAAGCATCGAACGAACCAACATGGCTAAGAAGGAAGTCATTGGCTTTCTTTCATCCGCTAACTTTGTGGCCTGCTCAGACAGTGAAGTGCCGTTTCTCAAAGCGGCAGACGGCACATATGTACGTGTGTACGTGCTGCACATTTGTAGATTCTTGCAACGTTTCTCAATTTCTTTATTTAAGCAGCCAAAACAGTCATTGCCACATCCCCATCCCCCCCTCTCTGGTAGAGACAAGTGCTCACGTGCACAAATGGACATAGCCTTTTGAAACCAGTTTGGCATCCTTCCCCTCCAGCCTCTTCTGCCATTTTTTGCATGCTCCTTATCACTGTCACATGCAATTGAATTCGTTAAATGCCTTGGCCAGGACAAAACAAATGGAACAAATTTAACTAAACACATATCATCGGGCTGCCCAGAATCGGAATTGATATTGACAACAGACATGGCTGCTGCAGCATCATTGGCAATGGCATTCGGATGCAGAAAAAACTACCTAAATTTACGCATTTTTCTCAGCGAGGTTTTTGTTTTGTGCAGCTCTTTGCTTCTCTTTCGATTTTTCTTCGTCATCGCCTTAAAAGAGTAACATATTTCTGGTATAAAAACTAGTTTCCTTTTATGGCGCTAAATTGACTGACTTACTGATTGATTGATCTTGTTTGTCGTTGCCATTGAACCACTGACAAAATGGCCTCTCCATCGTCCCCCCATCTCTCTTTAAGTTATTGGAACTGGGTATTTTGTATATGGAAAATCATCAATCACATGATGACATCATACAATGGAATTAACCTAGATTTGGATTGCAAATTTTCTCTCACTCATGTGACAAAAACGGGGAGGGGGGACTTGAATTTAAAAAAAAGAAGTGGCAAGAGAAAAAAAGTTGTTTAAATCCAATACAAAGGCTATGAATGAAATGACAGAGCCTGGAAATGTGTTAACATAATCAAAATGTGGTTCAACAGAAGCCGAAAATGTCTAACAGAGGTTTTACATGCTTGATATACAGATAACATAGGCTTTAAATGCTTTACAGAGTTGGATAATTTCTAAACAAATCCTGCAAATATCTTAACAGAGCGTGTAAATATGTTAACATAGTAAGAAAGTGGCTTAACAGTAGCTGTAACTGTCTAGCACGGGGTATTACATTCTCAACAGAATCAAATCATAGGTAACATATACGGCAAATGTTTAACAGTGTTAAACAATTTCTAATCTGTAAATTCTTAACAGAGTCTGAAATTTTTTAACTGTGTAAAAAACTGCAGAAATGTAGCCTTAAATGATTTTTTCTTTCTCCACGGAGCCTCTAG